CATCATCCTCCTCCTCCTCCTCCTCCAACTCCTTCTCCTCCTCCTCCTCCTCCTCCGCCTCCGCCTCCGCCTCCGCCTCCTCCTCATCCTTTCCCCAGGTTTCAGCGATAAGGGGAGACTGGCACATGGGGAGGGAACATCGACCTAGAATTGGCGATACATCGCCGATAGATCGGTGATAGGCCCCCGATAGTGAATCTGCACGTGTCTGATTAGGGGATATCGGGCCACTATCGGCCTATCGGCGATCAATGGGCGATTGGGGGTCGATGCATCCCCCCTTCCCTATTCCCCACCGATCTCCTGCCTCCCCATTCATCATTTCTCCCCCTCCTCCTCTTCCTCCTCATGAGTCCTCCTCCTGACACAGCCTCGAATTATCCTTCCTCCTCCAAGTTCCTCTTCCTCAACATTTCATTGTCCTCACATTCATCCTCCCTCCTACTCGTCCCTCTCGCTTTCGACATCCAACTTCTCCGCCGCCGGTTCGCCCGCCTTCATGACTATCATCCCGTCTCCTCGCCATCCGCTTTCTCCGCCGCCGCCTCGTCCACCTTCATGATTACCCTCCCCTTCAATACTCCCATCCTTCTCATGCCCCTCCTCATTCTCTTTCTCCTCCTCTCATCCTGTTCATAATCCTCCCCTCTCTTCCTTCTCATTCCCGTCCTTCTCCTCTTTGTCATCCTCCTCACGTTTCCCGCCCCCATCATTGTCCCCCTACTTTTCCTCCCCCTCACCTTCCTTCTCCCCTTCTCTTCGTCCTCCTGCTGTTCCTCCTCCGCCTCCTCCTCTTCCTCCTCCTCCTCCAACTCGTCCTCCCTTGAAGCGCGAGCGGCTGCTGAGCAGGTGGGAAAGAAGAACAGCAAGTGGGAGTGCGTACCAACCTCAGTCCCCCCTGGCGAGGAACTCCCCTGCAGATGCAGCCACCTGAGGGTGGCGCGGAAGTGGTTGCCGCTGAACGTGCCGTAGTCAGCATCTTTCGCCATATTCTCCTCTGGGGTGGAGCGGGGGTGCCTGAAAGGCTATAGCACACGCACACACGCACACACGCACACACTTTTTCCTCCGGAGCGCAGATCGGATGCAATCGACGGTTCACGCAGCACGGTCACACACACACATGCACACACACACACACACACACACACGCACGCACGCGCGCACGCAAACATACACACAAACACACGCTTGCTCTCTGAAGAGACGATTGACTGCAAGCACCGGCTGAGCATGGCAACGGGTTGGGTTGGCAAAGAAAGCAATCCTTTTTTTTGTGGATGCGTTGCCAGCGCTGACGCCCTAGGAGACGCCCAACGTGGTCGACCGCTGGGCAGCAGAGGTCGGGCGGTGCCTCGCCATCGCTCGGACGTCGTCCATTCCCCGTGCATGTGTCGGCCTCGTGCGCGCATGTTTCCGCAAGATGGCCCGAGATGCTCCTCGATGGCCCTCGCCAGGAAAAAAGTGCACACGTCCGAGCCAGGCCAAGGTGCAAGCAGCGAGGAGGTGAGGAGGCAAACCGAGAACGTCGGGCCAGGGAGCGGGCGGGGCGGAGGCAAGCCAGGCCCGCTCGCGCCTATCTGCGGACGCGCGTCGTAGCCGACCTGGGACTCCCAAACGTACCCATCGTGCTGTGCGCAATCGGAAAAAAAAAAGCGGAGCTGCGAAAATAGGGGGAGGAGGAGGAGGAGGAGGGGGAGTTGGAGGAGGAGGAGGAGGAGGAGGAGGAGGAGGAGGAGGAGGAGGTGGAGGAGGAGGGGGAGGAGGAGGAGGAGGAGGAGGAGGAGGAGGAGGAGGAGGAGGAGGAGGACGAACAGCAGCAGCAGGAGCTGGAGTGGAAGAAGCGGGAGGAGCAGGAGGACCGGGGGAAGGCGGAGGGGGAGAGCAGGGGGGCGACGACGACGAGGCAGGACTCGGGTCCAGAAACGTGGCGCGCGCTGCGGCGAGAGCGCTTCCCTTCACGACGGGCGCACAGCACCGATCCCAGCATGAGGCCGACACCGTAAAAGTTCATATTGACAAAAAGGAACACCAAACTCATGAACCCAACGTGTGGGCAATGCGCGGAAGGAAAAGGCTACTGCCCGGCAGCCTTCGGTTTTTTCGACAAATGATCAAGGCTGCTCCTCAACAATCCCCGCCGAGAAAAAAAAACGTCCGAGCGACACCAAGGAAACACAAAAGGAGCACCAAGCTTGTGAACCCAAGGCGTCGGCCGTACGCGGGAGAAAGAGGCTACTGCCCGGCAACCCTCGGGGGAGCGAGAAGGGAGCGTCGTAGTCGTAGCGAGCTGGGCGCGCCCGCGCACACCTGGCACCCGAGCCTTCCCTCCAAGCCTTGCCAGTTGCGCTGTTTGCTTCGATATCCGCGAACGCATTCGTCCTCCTCCTCCTCCTCCTTCATAACCGACCTGGAACTCCCCCAAAAATACTTCGTCGTGCCATGAGGAACCGGAACAGAGAAAAAGGGTGCTGCGTACACAGGAGGATGGGGGAGGAGGCGAAGGAGCAGGAGGCGGAAGAGGGGAAGGAGCAGTAGGAGAAGCAGGAGGAGGAGGCGAAGGAGGTGGCGGACGAGCAGGAGGAACAGGAGAAGGATGGGAAGGAGGAGGAGGACGAGCAGCAGCAGCAGGAGCTGGAGTGGAAGAAGCGGGAGGAGCTTGGGGACCAGGGGAAGGCGGAGGGGGCGACGACGATGAAAAGGACTCGCATACAGAAAAGTGGCCCGCGATGAGGCGAGAATGCGATTCTGAACGACGGGGGCAAAGCCGCGATCCGAAAATAAGGCCCACGCTGAAGTGGGAGCACTAGCCAAAACCACCGAAGAACAAGCGTGGTAAAAAACAGAAGAAGGAACCACTGCTGCCAAATCCTGTGTGTAAGCAATAGCACGATGAGAGGGTGGAGCATCTTCAAGACAGTCAGGGGAGAGAGGTGAGTACTCATATTACGTCATTGTTGAGCAAGCCCACCAGCCCTCTGGGCGTGAGTGGTTTAGGGAGCTTCATCTTCCAATCCCCTGTCTTTCCCTTCGGGGAAAAGGGTACCCCTCCCCCGACCCCGTCCATCTGGACCTGAACGGGAGGTTCCGCGAGGCGTTAGAGCGTCCAAGACGGCCTCGGCGTGAAGGCAGACATCATGGATTTGGCTTCCTTGGCGGGGGGCGGGGGTGCAATTTACTATTTCCCACTTCTTTGATCGATCTCATCCAAGATGGTCCCAAGATTGCCCCCCCCAGGCTCCCAACAGCGCCCCAACAGTGCCCCAAGAGGGCCCCAAGAGGTGCACAGGAGGTAGAGGCCCCCAAGATTTCCCCAGGAGGCCCCCAATACACCTTTAAGAGGCCCCGAAAGACTCCTCTGAGGCACCCAGGACGCTCCAAGAGGCCCCTGAGGCCGCCAAGAGGCCCCCAAGAGGCCCCAAGAGGACTCAAGACGCTCTCAAGATACGTCCGAAGAGACTGCGAGAGGCATCCAAGAGGCCTCGGGCCTTTCTGCTCGCCCTTCTCCTCCACATCCTCTTCCTCATCCGCCTATTCCTCCTCCTCCTCCTCCTCCCTCCTCCCTCCTCCCGCTTCCCCCCTCCCCCTCTAGCTATTCAGGTTCCTCCGATTCCCTTCATCCTCCTCCTCTTGGGGCATGACGTCTTACACAACCCTTCAGGTCCCTGATCCCTGATCAGGGCAACTCGTCTGGGCGTCATGCCTAGATTGGCCGGCTGGGTTACGCGAAGCGTCTAGAGTTGTAGAGGGTGGCTAATGGGAGTCCCATGCATCCTCACATAGCTTGCAGAACCACGCTACGCTCTCAAGTCATTGTCGGAAGAGGATTCGGAAAAGGAGGAATGTGAGTAATTAGCTGGAGGAGGACGGGAGTGCGAATGAGGAAACACGAGCTGTTCTAAATCGTGTTGCGCTCTTTCCTTTGCCCCATGCCTAATGTTTGAGCTATTGTTTGTAGTGCCACGCCTCCGCGTCTTCGCCTCACACCCGCCACCATAAAGCAGTCACACTCAGATCCATCCATAATCAGAGTCGCCGTTCATACTCAGACACGCTGGCTCACGGCCAGAACGGTGCAGCAGACATGACACCTAGGCATGCAAAGTTTGTTTTTGTGGGGGAAGGGAGGGGCGGACACCAAGCCTCAACTGCCAGCATCAAACTTGGGCATCCAAAGGTGGAGCCGCTGGGGAGGGCTACGCGGGTTCGCTCGCGCCCAGATTGTGGGGAACTCTCCTGCGGAGCGTTGGCGTTTGCTTCCCCGGCTCCTCGTTGGGGGTCACCCCGTGATTACCGCGACGTATCCGGTAAAACATGTACGCAGCCCAAGGGAAAGCCGCCCGGGAGTGCTAAACGGGCTCGTTGTGTGTCCAAAATGTGTGGACCTCTCAGGCGAAACACTGGTGTTGGCTTCTCTGGCTCGCGTCTGTTGACAAACCCATGATCGCCGCGATGTAGCAGGCACGTCGCTTAGACATATCAAGGGGAAGCCGCCTGCGGGTTTTATACGGGCCCGTTGGCGCCCAGATTGCTGGAACCTCTCCGGCAAAATACTGGTGTTGGCTCACCCGACGAGAGCGTCATCATCAGCGCGATATAGCAGGAATGGCACTTGCGCATCCCAAGGTCGCGCCCAGTGTGGGGACCTCTCTAGCGAAATCTGGGTTTCGGTTCTCACGACTACTCAGTTTTGAACCTCAGTGAGGCCCGAGATGTAGCAGGCAAACCACTTCAATCATGCCCAGGCCTACTTACACTCAGACCAATTAATACTTAGTCAGCCGAACTCGATCCCATTCACACTCAGACCTTATAATTTCAGATGCACCGTGAGAAGAACCTTATGGGGATTCCCGCGTGGAAGCATGTGCTCAGAAGAAGAAAAACACGAGGAAGAGGAGGATATGGAGGAACAGGTACAGGTAAAAAAGGGGGAGGAGGACAGGCAACAACTGCCTGCCCGCAGAACTCATCATTCCCCCCCCCCTCCTGCTCCTCCTCCTCCTCCTCCTCCTCCTCCTCCTCCTCATTCTCCCCCCGTCGGCTTCCCTCCCTCAAGTTATCGCCCTCCTTCCTTCACCTCCTCTCCGCTTGCTTCTCCTCATCCTCGTCTCCTCCTCCACATCCGCTGCCGCCCCCCCCCCCCCCGCGTACACCCAGCGAAGCCATACGAAAGCATCGGCCCTCCTCACCATCCTACCTCCCTCCGCCTCTTGCAGCTCTTGGACGGCGGATAAGTCTGGGATGGGGATGGCCCTGGTCCAAGCTGGATGTCTGTCGGGAAGGGCCCAGTCGGCGCCCCATACTCCTGGCTGGGGCCGATCCGTGCGAGCGGCGTGCTCGCACGGAAGGTATATCCGCCTGGCTTCCTCCTGGCTCGCTGCCCCTACTTTGTTTTAAACATCCTGAGCTAATGGGAGGAGGAGGGGACGGGGGAGGAGGAGAAGGAGGGCGAGGAGAAGGAGGAGGAGGAGGAGGAGGAGGAGGAATAGGAGGACGAGGAGGAGGAGGAGGAGCGCCGATGCTCAACCCTAGGCGCACACAGCGACGTGTCACGCAGAAGCACGGCCCACAGGTCTGCTTCCAGCATGGACGTTTCGTCGTCCACGTCGCCACATGCGCGGCGAGAATGGGGCGGGGCGCATACACACAAACACGCACACAACACACAAACACACACACACACACACACACACACACACACACACACACACACACACACACACACACACACAACACCACGCGCACGCGCGCGCACGCACACGCGCACACGCGCACACGCGCACACGCGCACACGCGCACACGCGCACACGCGCACGCTCACGCGCACGCGCACGCGCACGCGCACGCGCGCACGCACACGCACACACAGACGCACACACGCACACAGCACACACACACACACACGCACACACACACACTGTCTCTCACACACACACACAGACACACACACACGCAAACACGCACACGCACACGCGCACACGCATTCACGCACAC